AGGAGGAGAGATGCATGTCGAAAGTAGAGTATGGACTGAACATGTTTGCCACTCAATGCCTCTTTTGCAGACCACAACACCCAAAAGGAGAGAGAGAACACAGGGGATTGCCCTGCCACAGAGACGGGGGGATGGGGGGATGGGGGTGGGAGGGATATTATCCATGGTGGTGGAAAATGGGCACTGGTGGAGGGATGGGTATCTGATCATTGTATAATTGAAACCAAAGCACAAAAAATTGTAAATCTACAACTTTAAAAAAAATAAAATAAAATAAAGGGGAAAAAAAAATATTTCAACAAATATTAGTTTATCTGTTCAATTCACCACCCTTGAAATGTCTGCCTGAGAAAGCTGAACTGAGTAAAAAGAATTTACTATAGTACAGTCCATGGGTAGAGCAATTTACCTTGCATGCAACAGACCTGGGTTCAATCCCCAGCATCCCTTGTGTCCTACTAGGAGTTATACCTGAATGAAAACCCTGGCATAAGCCCTGATTATTTCCAGGTGTGCACAGAGTCATGATAATTCCTTAGCATTGCCAGCCATGGCCCCAAAACAAAACAAAACAAAAAATACTGCTTGTTCCAGTCACAACCTGAGCATAGTTCCCTAGCTTCTCTTTTCTTAGAATATTTACTTTAGAAAACTTGTGATTGTAAATCATTTCTCTGCCCCTTCAGAATGAATCATCTACAACCCAGGTATGTCTTTCTCAAGGACCTAGAAGATATTTCTTTGAAATGTAATTATCATGAATAATAGGTCCTTTACTATTACACCAACTATAAATATGTAATTCACAGTACATTCATAAAACAAAATTGCTGGAATAAAAAAATGGTAGGGTCCTTGTCTCCCAATCTCTAAGTAAGAAGAGAAGAAGCCTGGCTTTAGTAAGTACCATTTAGCAAACACAAATAGCTTAATAACATCAATCAACCACCTCCCCTCCATTTCCTCACAAATTTTCTGTCCAATGCACACTCTGCCTTTTGTTGCATCATCTTAAGTTTCTCTCTACTCATCTTAAGTTTCTCTCCTCTACAGTAGTAGCACTGTAGCACTGTCATCCCCTTGTTCATCAATTTGCTTGAGCGGGCACCAGTAACGTCTCCATTGTGAGACTTGTTACTGTTTTTTGGTATATCCAATACTCCACGGGGAGCTTGTCAGGCTTTACCATGTAGGAGGGATACTCTCGGTAGCTTTCCAGGCTCTCCAAGAGGGACTGAGGAATTGAACCCGTGTAGGCCCCATGCAAGGTAAATGCCCTACCTGCTGTGCTATTGTTCCAGCCTGAATAAAATTTGTCTTACCACCTTAAGCAAGACCCAGCTCTTTCTCTTAGACGCCATGAACTAACAGATCAAAATCTTAAAGCAGGGTTTACATGCAATCTCGAATGACAGAGAAAAGAATAAACAAAAAATATTAAAAAAATGTAAATAATATTTTAATAAAAACCTATAAAAATAAAAGTAGAATCAAGAATATAAAACTATTATTTATATAAAAATTTAACTCAGTTTTAATCCAGGTGAATGTATTCCCATGCATGAGGCTAAAACAGATATGTGGGAATGGGGGCAAGATAAAATGAGGACAATGAGGTCATTTGGTTGCGAGTTAACACTCCAAACAGCTCAAGGGAAGATATTTCTAAGTACAATGGGGAATAAAGGCACTATAGCTGAAAATCCACCAGTGGCCACGATATTAAAAGATAAAGATAAGTAGAGAATAAATGATTTTATGGTTTGAATAGTTGAATAAAGACTGGCCTTGCCTAAGATGATTGACATTTTTCTGGATAATTATGTCTCCTGATAAAAGTTTCAGGTTTTTAGACAACTCAGACACCCACAGTTCTAAGACTAGAACCCTCAACTTGTGCCGTAACTACTAATAGCGTGATATAAATTTTAAGTTCTGTTACAATCTGGCAGTCAATATGAAGGAAATTCTTGAGGGTTGAAAAAACAAAGATGAAATAACTACATTCATGCTAGGAGGATCATCTTAGCATGCACATTAATAAGAAAAAATGTCATTTCAAGACTCTAAGTAATAGTCTCTCTAACACCGCAAAGGCAGGGGTGATATCTTATTTTTTTTTACTAAAGAGTTATCTTCAAGGTGAGGTGAAGCCACAGAAACTACTAAGTTAGTCTTCAACTTTATATTTTCATACTATTATGAAAGGTCTTATATCAGATATCCCCAATCTTATTTGGCCTATTGGTTACATTTCATAAAAACAATACTCAGCACCTCCAAAAATCTACCCCATTTATGAGAAAAGTAGAAAGACCATACAATTGTACCTGAAGCTTTACCACCTCTCAATCAATCCTTTGCTACCACCCACAACATTTTGGGAAATACTACTAACTCTGTTTCTATATAAATCCAAATGTTTCTTGACATATAACTCCTAATTTTAGTATAGAACCTCAAAATAATAAATAATCTAAGGTATAACATATAAATATGTTGTACCAAGGCTAGTGGTAATTATATGAAATATGAAAATATAGGCTCTACCAAACTGGTAACATATTCAATTTTTCTGGATGTCTAGAAAAAGAAGGAACAAAGGAGGTCTTGTGGATATGTGAAGGGACAAATCTTGAAAGAACAAAGAGTAGGAAGAATGGGTAAAGAGGATCAATTTATTAGTGGTAACTACGTTATTAGAACATTGGTCGTGGGTATGATGTAGTATAAGACTTATTGAGACTATCTATACTCAGAAACTTAATTTTGTAAACTATTGGTAAATGAAGTTTTAAAAGAAATGTGTAATGTAATACTATGCAGTTTTAAAGAATGATGAAACCATGCAATTCTCTACAACCTGGGTGGAACTATGTTAAATGTTAAATGTAGTAAGCTATAAGAAGGATACACACAGGATGATATCACTTACACAGAATAACTGGATGATTAAATGTAATGTTTTAAAGGGGGAGTTGCCTAGATCACTCTTACTCTCAGAGAATACAAAAAAAAAGGAAAGGAAATTGAATTGCAGGGGGAGACGAGATAGATGAGTAGCAACTGGAGCAAGGGGCAACAGAATTCAGGCACACTACCGGTGTTAAGGAATGACAGAGCTAAAAACCCAAACCATAAATTCAACAACACTGAATCATGAGACCCAAATTTTAACAACCAAACTGCTTTCAAGATGGTTGACTGGTGGAAGGGCGGGTAGGTGAGGGAACCTGGGAACACTTTTGGAGGTAAGTTGACACTGGTGGTGGGATCGGTGCAGGAACATTGTCTAAAACTCAATTATGAATAACTTTGTAAATCATGGAGCTTTGATAACATTTTTTAAAAATATATGTGCTTCTATAGACTGGAGAGATAATACAGAGATGTGGTATTTATCTTGCATGTAGCCAACTCTGGTTCTATTCTCAATACCACATATGTTCCCCTGAGCACAGCAAGCGGTTATCACCAAACACAGAGCAAGGAAAGGGGGAGAGTATGTTTTCCTAAAAAGAACAAAAAGTGTCCTATAATTGACAGTGATAAGTGCTTTTGAAGTAACGCACTAATGAGTCAGCCCGCCTGCAGCCTGCCACACATTTATCAAAGTTGCTAAGTTTCAGGCATTATGACCCAACAAACTCTGCTGTCATACCCACAGTCAAATTGAGGAGGGTAAAGCCTGGCCCTTCAGTCTCATCCAACAGCTGACTGGGGTGGGCAGCCAGATACAGGTGCCCAAGAACTTGGCACTGCCCAGTTCCATCTAAAGGGGCACATATCCCTTCTGAGTGGCACAATTTCAGTCAAAAGCCTGAAATAACTTCATTGTCAAGGTATTGAATTTATAAATTTTACGTTTTACAGTTATTTAAGATTTGGATTGAGACTATACCAAATATAGTCCCAGTCTAAATAAACTTTTTTTGCCTTCTCTTTTTTTCCAGGCTATTAATAATTCTTCTGAAGGTATGAGGAGCCTTTTCCTAAAATCTTTTCATGGATTTATAGAGACTCTTGAAAGGAGAGGCTAAAATAATCTTGGGAATTGATAAAGGGAATGAATATATTATTAATTATCATGTGAAAGGACAGTCATAAAAGTATAGTTATTATAAAATGTATATAAGAGATGAGGAAGGCTTGGAAGATGAGAGGGAGGGAAGTGAGGAAATGGAAGGAAAAGGGGAACTGGGGAGGTTAGAAAGGGGGAGGGAAAGAGACTGATTTGTAAAGCTAGGGGATAAAGTCTAAATTTTGAAGGAATTTGGGGGAGAAGATAACTCAATAGCCTTCTCCAATATTGCAACAAAAGGATATTTTATTTTAAAAAAGAAATAAAATTCAACAAGTCTACTGAACTCTTCAATGTGTCTTCTTGAACATAGACATAAATTCCCTTTTTACTTCAATCCCAGGAGGTGGTGAAGAGGGTATAAGGAAGTTGCTGTAGACTATTGTTTTTTTTCTTTCAAAGATTCTATTGAACTTGAGCCTGTGGAATTGTATTTTTGGTTATATTTATGTCAATTAGCCTGAGGGTTCTCAGCATTCAGAAATATGTTCTATAGAAATGTTAAATTTTTAATTAAAAAGGTTACTGTTAATTGTATTTTCCAATGTCACTATATAATAAATGTTATAGCTATAATTTCACTTTCTTTAATTAAAAAAGGCTCCAGTTGAACCACTAATGGTTAACATTCAGTTAGAGGATGAGGTGAGCTTGATTATTTTAAAGTATCCAAGAGAATATAAAGAAAAATAGACAAGTGAGATTTAGTGTATATAGTTGGTAGTGAACCACTGATTTTAATCCCCAGGCTTTAGGCCTCCTTTTAAATTATTCTGCTTCTCTAGCTAAAATATTTCAGTATTCTTTCCTATTTCTCACTCCACCAGAGATAGGTTTAAGGAAGGCTTTCAAATTTTCTTATTCAAACTGGCCCTATTTCTAAAAACTATCTATATTTTTAATCTTTTTTTTCTTCTAGATGTCTGATGATATTGACTGGTTACATAGCCGCAGGGGTGTGTGCAAGGTAGATCTCTACAGCCCAACTGGACAGCAAGATCAGGAGCGTAAAGTGGTAAGATGATAAACTTTTAGCAAGAAGTGGAAAGGATTGTCACTAGGTTGTAGATATCCTGGAGCCCAGGATAAACTAATAGAAGATGATATTTTGACTTCTCCAAGCAACCAAGCTCAGTTAGGTATGTGGGAACAATTGTGCTTTATAAATCAAACTAAGGCAAATCAAGGGCAGATAGGACAAGGATTGAGGTAAAGGGGCTGAGGGGAAAAGGCTGGGGAGAATTTGAGGGGAGGAAGGAGTGGTGGTTGCCTAGTTACCAGCTACTATTACCTGATACCTCTTAGGTCATAATGCCACCTACTTAACAGTAAGATATGCTAATGTTGGATTACATCAAAGGGCAAAATACTTCATACTCTGCTTCATAAACAATAAGTGATTTGGCATAGTAGCTTACATTTCAAAAGAATGTTCAAGTATCATTTATGACTTGTTATGTATTTATACAATGATTTTTAAATTCACTTACACTGAAAATTTGCTATAACTTTTTGCAATATTATTAATAATCCCATAGATAAGGGTATATGACCAAACAAATGACAAAATAAGCTCCTAATAAAACAGAAATGTTTATGTAAAACCTAAACACTACCTTTCTTCATTTTCTCAATAAAAATAGATATTTTGTTTTCAGTTTTTCTATGATAGGTAGGTATTCTAATTTAGAAAATAGAGTAATGCTAAAATTATCTAGTAATTTAATAATTATTACTATGTATAATTATTGGTTATTATTATTGGTGATTATTGATAATTATTATTGATAATAATTATTAATGATTATTGATTGATATTATTTATCATCATTAAAACTTAAATCATATCATCATTAACAGTATATCCTAACAACAATCCCAATAATGTTTATTGATTACTTACAATGTACATGCACTATCTCTATCCTCACAAGCTCCTGTAATGTAGGTACTACCAATCATTTCCCAGAAAAATACATTATGGTATATTAATTTTCTAAATTCATATTTCTAATTTGATGCAGATATGCTTTGTTGATGTGTCCACACTGAATGTGGAAGAAAAAGATTCCAAGGTGGGTATTCTTCACTGGACTGGATGGGAAACTTCTAAGAAGTTTTATTAATCACAATGGTTATACCTCTATGAGGAGAAAGATAGTTTGCAGTAATAGATGGAAGGGTTGAGTGAGATAGGAATTTGGGTGGAAACCTGCCTTTCTCATTGGTCTATGATGCTTGGTTCAGAATTTACTATTACTTTGGGCATAAAATATCATTTTAGAAACTACTTAAGTTACTGGTAAGGTTTAAGGTATTAGAGCATGAAAGATAGCATGTCAGAAAAATAAAAAATAATAAAAACCCTATTGAAAAGGATGGCCTTTAGTATAATATGGCTTCCATGATAAATAGCTTTGTGAGTATTTTCTGAGTAGTAATTGGTAGAGAGAAATTAGCTAATTCTTCAAAGATTAGCTGTCATTAAAAACTTACTCTATCCTTCCAAAAGAACATGTGTCTTCCTAAGACACATAATATTCATGCTTTCTAGTGATATCATAGGAAGGTAGCTTAGTAAAATCTCAAAAAAAGCAATTGTTCATAAGAATCTTGCCTCTTAATAATACAGGGTGTAGGCTGTTCCAGTTCAGACAGTGAACTAAACTTGGGAGACCTGGAAGATAAAGAAATTATTGTGATCAAGGACACTGAAAAGCAAGATTTATCTAAGGTATACTTAATCTATAAGTCCAGTTTTATTAATTTCCAGAGCCCAGTGGTGAGTTTACAGAATCTGGTTCAGAGAAATAAAGTAACTAGTGTCTTTATTTTCCCAGATTTGAGCATTTGACATTCTATAGAACACAAGTCTAAGTTCAGACTCATGATAAGTTCATGTGCATTGAACCAATCAGATCATATCCAATCAGACATGCTCAAGAATGCCTGTTTTTAATTTCAGGCACCTAACTTCAACAATCTTTCTATACTTTAAACTTACTCTCAGCATCTTATGAGTTTGTAATACCATATGAACTATAGTTACCATACTGTTTTTCATAGAATCTTGCTATTACTAGCTTAACAAAGATTAAAGTTTATCATTATGACCCTCTACAGTGTTCTCTACTGGCTTCTGATGGACTCATGTGTCCCATATTAGACAGTGTCTAAAAAGGAAGGAAGATGGTTTGGAGCAGAGAAAATTTATAGTGACCAATAACTGTAGTCACATAGTTTCTAAGATACTATTTAAAAGAATAAGACTAATTCACACAACTGAGTTGGTGGGAGGGATTGGAGAAAGAGAGGGGTATTGGAATGTTTAAGGGATGGTAGGGTACACTGGTGACGGGTATGGTGTTGGAATTTTGTGCAAGAGAAACCATCATTAACATATTGTAAACCACCGAATAAAGTAAAATAAAATGTTCCAATCATCCCCCACCAGAAAAAGAGTACCCGGCTGTTGGGAGTTTAAAGTTGAAAGCAATTAGACATGAATGCACCTTCACACAGATTGTGTGTTTGTGTAAAAATAAAAGTTCCTTACATTATCTAAAAACTCCAGAACTCACCTTCCAAATAATCTAACAAATCATAACAAATAGAATTCTCTACTTTTAGATATAAAGGAAAATCTATATTTGCAATTAGGGTCGGATCCTTCCTCTAAGGGTCATAGTTTGGGGTAGGCATTAAGAGTAGACAAGTAACCCTTAAGTAGAGTAACTGGAATTGGAACACACTATGTATACACAATTACAAACATATATCATGTTGTTATACATATACAAACTTAAAGTAACATGTTTTTTCCTCTGTATTCAAACTTAAAGTAACATGTTTTTTCCTCTGTATTCATTCATTCACTTGCTACACAGGCAGTTACATCTTTTCTCAGATATTCACACACAAATTAAAATTCCAGATTATGTAACACCAACACACGTTCTCAAGCTTTATTATATTATTACAACAGAATACATATATCATATATTATATTTATACATTATACAGTATATTATAATTATTTCAGTTCATATGTAAATATAAATATAATATAAATCAATATTCAGTTTATTAATATAATTAATCACCTAGTTATTCTCAACATTTTAAATTCCACATTTCTTAATACACATTAATAGCTTAACATGAATTTGTAATAACTTAAAGTGAATTTTAATATTAATACCAATATGTGAATTTGTGCTGTAACATATAATTATATTTAGCTAAATATGTTCTACTGAATTTACATCACAAACACAGATTACTTAAGCAGTTTCTCATTTTTCAAAGAAACACTAATGCACACTCATATTCTGACATTCATGTTAGAAAGATTACACATTGACAATGTTTTTTATAGTAAACATGCAATGGACATTACTGTAATTACATTACACATGCTTACATGTCAGTCACACATCACTGACATACATATATGCACACATATACTCAATATATATATTTAATTGCCCTAAATTACAAAGATATTAGTGATTGTTTCAGGTACACAATGTTCCAATACCACACCCTTCACCAGTGTCCATTACCCTTCACCTACATCCACAGTTTCCCTCCCACCCTCAGCCTGCTTCTTTGATTGTTTCCCTTTCACAACAAAGTCCCCTCCACAATAGCTCTACTGTTCCCTTTCCTATCTATACCCCACCCCCAGGGGCCTCAGTAGCTAGCTCCTTACTGAAAACCAAACTGCTATTCTTTTCTATTGCCTTTGGGCATTTGGTATTCCCCTAGGAAGATTCTCATATCCCACATATGAAGCAGATCATTTTGTGTCTGTTCCTCTCCCTCTGACTGATATCACTAAAATGATACTCTCCAGATCCATCCATATAGAATCAAATTGTATGACTTCATCTTTCTATGGCTGAGTAGGATTCCATTCTTTATTCAGTCATCCGTGTTTGGACATTTGGGTTGTTTCCAGATTTGGACAATTGTGAATAGTGATGCAAAGAACATAGAAGTACAGATGTATTTTCTGTATTGTGCCTTTGGGCCCTTGGAGTATATTCCCAAGAGTGGAATTTTTAGATCCTTTGGAAGTGAAAATGCTATTTTTTTTGAGTAATGATCGTATTGTCTTCCAAAAAGGCTGGACCAGTTGACATTTCTCCCAGAAGTGAAATAGGGTCTTTTTTCCCCACATCCTCATCAACACTGGTTGTTGTTGTTATTCTTTTTTTAAATTTTTTTTTAAAAAAACATTTTAAAATGTATTGAATCACCATGAGATACAAAGTGTTCACAATTGAGTTACAAAGTGTTCACAATTGAGTTTTAGTCTACAATATTCAAGCACCCATCTCTGGTGAACCAGTGTCTACTTCCATTCACCAGTGTCCCCAGTTTTACTACCACTCCTCACCCTGCCTCCATTGCAGACATTTTTTTCCTTTTAGCCAAGTTTGCAATACTGTTACTGAAATGGTATCATGTATATGACTTTAATTTCTTTCAATATCCAGTTCTTGTCCAAAGTGATCACTTCCCACTACCATTGTCATAACGATCCCTTCTCTGACCAAACCTCCCTTCCCTTATGTGGCAAGCTTCCTAATAAGTTCCTCCTGGCTTTTGTTTCTATTGTATTGGTTATTCTTCTACTAGGTATATCTCTTAAATGAGTGTGATCATTTTACGTCTGTCCCTCTCTGACTCATTTTACTCAGCATGATACTCCCCATGTCCATTCATGTTATCAGCAAATTTCATGACATTTTTTAATAATGTTCATGAAGAGGTAATAATTAAAATAGTATGGTACTAGACTATGGACAGATATTCAGGTTAATGAAATAGTATGTAAAATTCAGAGACAGATCCTCAGATATATGGTCAGTAAATCTTTGATAACAGATGGTTTAAAAATTCATGATTTTTTCATAACAGCCACATAGTATTCCATTGTGCTGCAGTGAACATAAGAGTGAAGATGCCTTTTCTGCATTGTGTTTGAGAACCTTAGGGTATATTCCCATGAGCAGAATTTCTGCGTCATATAGAATCTCAATTCCTATTTTTTCAGGAAAGTCCATATTGTTTTCCAAAAAGGCTGTGTCAGTCAACATTCCCACCAATAGTGAATGAGGGTCCCCCTCCCTCCACATCCTTGTCCAAACTAGTTGTTATTCTTGATGGTCAGTCTTTGTGGTGTGAGGTTGTTTTGATTTGTACTTGTTGTTTTGATTTGTACTTTCCTTATTACTAGTTATGTAGGACTTTTTCCATGTCTTTTGACTATTTTTATTTCTTTTTTGAGGAATTTTCTATTCATCTCTTATTCCCTTTTTGATAGGGCTGGACTTTTTTTGTAGTTTTCTACCAGTACTTTGTATATTTTGGATATTGATCCTTTACTATATGCATGGTGGAAAGATAGTTTTCCCCAATATGTGGGCTGTCTTTGGGTTCTGGTCATTGTCGCCTTTGAGGTGCAAAAGCTTCTTAATTTAATGTAGTCCCATTTGTTTATCTTTGCTTCTACTTGCTTAGTGAGCAGCATTTCATTTTTAAAGATGCCCCTAACTTCAATGTCATGGAGAGTTTTGCTTTAATTTTGTTATGTACCCTGTGAATTCAGGTGTGATATTGATGTATTTAATCAATTTTTATTTTCTTTGTGTGCATGGGCTTAGAAAGAGATATGAGTACATGTTTTTCACATAGCTGACCAGTTTCCTATCACCACTTGTTGGAGTGACTTTCCTTAATGGTTTTGCTCCTTCATAGAAGATTTACTGATTATATATCTAAGGGTTTGTCTTTGAATTTTTTATTTTATTCTATTGACCTGAGTGTCTGTCTATAATCCAGTACCATGCTGTTTTAATTACTACCACTTTATGGTACAGTTTGAAGTTGGGTAAAGTGATAATTCCCATCTTCTTACTCCTAAGGAATGCTTTGACTTATTGTTCTACATGAATTTCAGGAGTGTTTGATCTAATTTTTTTAAAATATCAAGCATATACTTATAGAGACTGCATTGAATTTGTGTAATGCTTTGGGTTTTATTGCCATTTTTAGTGTATTAATCCTCCCAATCCATCAGTAGGGGATGTGTTTCTATTTGCTCATGTCGTTTTTATACACACTACATTTTACTTAGTTTGTTTGGGGGGGTGGCCACACTCAATAATGCTCAGGGGTTTCTCCTGGCTCTGCACTTAAGAATCACTCGTGGCAATGCTCAGGGAACCATATGAAGATTGAACCCAGATTGGCCACATGCAAGGCAAGCTCACTACTCACTATGCTACCTCTTTGTCCCCCATTTTTATATTTTAATAGAGACTGATATGTTCACATGTCTATTGTGATTTACAGTTTGATTTTTTATATTAATGCATATACATTCACACACAGGATACATCAAAAAATTTTTATACATACAAGATAAACACATATACTCAGTTTTAAAATACCATATTAGTTATACTTTCCTATAGGTAATGATACAAATGCATATACTTTAAGCTTTTATTGTTGATGCTTTTGCTTGTACATGTGTCTGGATAAAATTTGTTGAAATTAGTGGAAATTCTAATGGAAAAACTTCTAATCTATTCTGTTTAAAAGGTATATATTTGAAATAAATTAAGGGAAAGAAGTGGCTTACCCAAACTTATGGATAGGGGTTCCTCTTTTTTTTTAGACTGAAGGATCTGTGTGCCTTTTCAAACAAGCTCCCTCTGATCCAATAAGTGTCCTCAACTGGCTTCTCAATGATCTTCAGAAGTATGCATTGGGTTTCCAACATGCATTGAGCCCCTCATCCTCTAGCTGTAAACATAGAGTAGGAGAGATGGAACAAAAATGTCAAAAATACCCCTCTGACAACTGCTACAGTGTCTACGCTGACCAACTGCACACAGACTATAAAACCAAAGGATCTCACAGCTTAAGACTTATGGAAACGACAGCATCCAAAAACACCAACAATAACCAGAGCCCTTCCTCTCCCCCTGGTAAATCGCCTAGTAATCAGAAAGCAGTTACCTCACCTGATGGAGAATGTTCTATGGATGACCTTTCTTACTATGTCAACCGACTATCTTCTCTGGTAATCCAGATGGCCCGTAAGGAAATCAAAGAAAAGTTGGAAGGAGGAGGCAAATGTCATCATCATTCAAACTTTCCGCAATGTGGAGAAAAGGGGAAAAACAGCCCCCGTAGTGTTTTGAGCAAGATTGCCTCAGAAATGGCCCATGATGCTGTGGAAGTCACCTCTGCAGAAATACGAGGCAACGGGGAGGAATGCAAAGAAGGAAGCCGGAAAAGTTTTCTATATAGTGAATTAGCTAACAAGAACAAAGGTGGAGACAAACAAATGTGCCAGAGAGATAGCAAGGAATTTGCAGATTCTATCAGTAAAGGGCTCATGGTTTATGCCAATCAGGTTGCATCTGACATGATGGTTTCTGTTATGAAAACTCTGAAAGTACAGAGCTCTGGGAAGCCAATTCCAGCCTGTGTGGTCCTAAAGAAAGTGCTGCTAAAACACACCAAGGATGTTGTGTCTGATTTGATCGATTCTTGCATGAAAAACTTGCATAATATCACTGGTGTTCTGATGACAGACTCAGATTTTGTCTCAGCTGTTAAGAGAAATCTATTCAATCATGGAAAACAAAATGCTGCTGATATCATGGAGGCCATGCTGAAGCGTTTGGTCAGTGCTCTTCTTGGTGAGAAAAGAGAAACTAAATCGCAGTGTCTGTCATATGCATCCTTGAAAGCTGGCTCTCAAGACCCCAAATGCAAGAACCAAAGCCTGGAATTCTCAGCTATGAAGGCTGAGATGAAGGGAAAGGATAAAGGCAAAATGAAATCAGATACACGCAAGTCACTGACCAGTGCTGAGAAAGTCGGTGAGCACATCCTAAAGGAAAGCTTGACCATGTGGAATCAAAAACAAGGAAACCCAAGCAGGATGCCTCAAAAATTGCCTTCAAGTCAAGATGATAAACGAGAAAAGATCAGCCCTTCCACTGATTCACTGGCAAAGGATTTGATTGTCTCAGCCCTTATGCTTATCCAGTATCACCTTTCTCAGCAGGCCAAAGGCAAAGATGCATCTGATGATGATGGCTGCCCTCCTCCATCGGGATACTTGACTCAGACTGCCCAATATGAAAAACGTGGAAATGGCCAAAATGCCAAAGCACTTTCAATGAAACATCTAGAAACACACAGATCTTCTGGACCAACCACCTCTACCAAAGATTCTCAACATCTAGACTCCCAGAAACTGGACATGTCAAACATGGTTCTATCACTGATTCAGAGACTTCTCAATGATAGCCCCTTCAGCTGTGAGGATCCATGTGAAGGTGAGAATAAGCACTCTGAACCCAAGGCAAACAAATCAACTTCTATGTCCACTAGACCCGAAAAAGGGGAAGAACAATGCCAGGAGAGTCAAGACCTTGACTTTATCAGTGGGATGAAGCAAATGAACCGGGAGTTTATAGATCAGCTGGTTGAATCTGTTATGAAGCTGTGCCTTATAATGGCTAAATACAACAACAAAGGAGCACCCTTCAATGAACTGGAAGAACAAGCATCGTCCTCCAACACCAACTTCCGTACTTGTCCTCCCCCCAAATGTTGTCATGAATCTATGGCATCTTTTCAAGAACGTCCTGGACCCGAAGTCATCGTCAATAATCAGTGTGCAACTAGTAGCTTACAGAAACAACTCCAAGCTGTCCTGCAATGGATTGCAGCCTCCCAATTTAATGTTCCCATGCTATACTTCATGGGAGATGATGATGGACAACTGGAAAAGGTAAGCAATATAATAAGGCACAAGAAAAACTGATTGGCATGGGTAGGAGCAGGGAGGTAGGATTTTACTTAGACCAGTCTACTTTTATAACTTGATTCATGCATTACATTCACCTCACAAAAAGACACAAAAGTGGTGAACCATTAAAACTAAGTGGGGTGCTGTATGCATATATCATCAAAAGGAGCAAGTTGAGATTGACACTTCTATTTGTTAAAATATTAAGGAAAAAGGTTAAGTTTTGTTTTGAGTTTAAAAGTTTTTAAAGGACTAAAGGGAACACCCCAAATTTCTTCCCAAAATTACAGATTGTGCAAGTGCCACAAGAGCACTTATTTAAGTTTTTGGCCCAGGAACTGGAAAGATAGATACTGCAATCGGTAGGGCACTTGCCTTGCATGTGACCAACCTGGATTTGATCCACAACACCTTATTTGGTTCCCAAGCCCCACCAGGAGTGATCCCTACATCTGGAGTCAGGAGTAAGCTCTGAACACTGCCTGATGTGGACAAAAAACAAAGAAAATTTGCACAAAAAGCTGTACTCATGGCTAACTTCTGACTCTGCATGCAGGGATCAATCCTGGTGGGCTCAGAGGAACACACGGGGTATTGAGGATAGAACTTGAGCCAGCCACATACAAGGCAAGCACCCTACCTGCTATACTATCTCTCTGCCTTCTCCCAAATAAAAGTATTTTTCCTAGGTGCCTCATTTGTTTCTTTGTAGTCATCCTCAGTCTTATGTCAGCAAACATTCAAACAACAAGCACGTTCTCACTGTTCTTTTCTCTTTCTCTCTCTCTCTCTCTCTCTCTCTCTCTCTCTCTCTCTCTCTCTCTCTCTCACACACACACACACACACACACACACACACACACACATGGCTGATTTCAGAGATATCAAAGACTGAACAGTCCAGATCTGAACCCAAACTATTCTCCCCACCTTTCTACTTTTTTCTCTTCTTCTTTTAATGGGACATAAGAGAATAACCATAACAGAGCTGGTGAGGAGTATTTAGTGAACACAATGAATTGCCCTTTAGTTTTGAAGCTCATAAAATGCTTCTGACATTTGGATCTTTGTCATTTGAAAAAAATAAAGAAAGAAATGCTTTAATCATAGGATCATGGGTGGGAATCTGGATCTTTGCTCCAAACATGACTCAGGCTAAGTTCCGTTTTCTTCACAGCTCCCTGAAGTATCAGCTAAGGCAGCAGAGAAGGGGTACAGTGTAGGGGATCTACTTCAAGAGGTCATGAAGTTTGCCAAAGAACGACAACTGGATGAAGCTGTGGGGAACATGGCAAGAAAACAACTGCTAGACTGGCTGCTCACTAACCTGTGAGCCAAAAACTCCTTCAGATCCCTTCCATCTTACCTCCCCTGCCCCACTCCACCCCTAGTTAGTATCTGCGTTCCAGCCTATACACCCTCAGCATCAAGCCAGTTAACTGCATATTCCAGGATTGTATTTCTCAATACTGAGCAGTTGCGCTGTGCAAATACAGGGTGTCCACCAACCTGGGCATGAACATGAATAAAAAATGAAAAACAACATTGTTTCCTTAATCAGATAAATATGAAGCAAGGGAGGGGAGTGAGTTCAATTCCGAGGGCTGATGATTGTCTACCTCTAATTCTGAGTTATTTTCTGCATACCCAAGACACAGGACTGTGTAATCAAAGTAATCTGATGTGCCAAACTTCAGTTCATACTCTAGAGTTTTTCCACTGGTGACATTCCTGCTTCTCCCATAATTACATAACTAGTTTGATAATCCTTCAGCTAGTCCAAAGATTTTGCTAAGAGTTTGCATATTGCTTAGCTTAGAAACCAAAGAAACATTATCTGTAAACACTATCACACCCTGTCATATACATCACCCCCAAGATGACTCTGCAGTGTTCACTAGACAAGGCTAGTGGTATTCTACTAGAAGTACAAGGGGAGCTGGTCCTCTCCCACTTGTGAATAAAATTTCCTTATAAATACAGAATAATCTTTCTCATATGTGGGACTTAAAGATACACAGCAATATTGCAACAAAGGTTCAAAGAATGTTTTGGAAGAACTGATCCACACAATTGAGTGAAGGAGACTTGGGATGGAGGGCTCTAGGGGTCCATGTGAGAGGGCAGGGAGGGTACACTGGTGATGGTTGTGGTATTGGAACTATTGCATGGGAAAACATTATTAATAGCATTGTAAACCACAGAATGTCAATGAAAAAATTAACATGAAAATAAATCCTTTCCTTCCATTGAAGTTTTCTTGCATCTATAAGCCTGAGAATAAAGCAACAGGATGGTAAATTTCTCATGGTCACTTTAACTGAATTTCAGTGCTCCCTCCATCCTGGAATTAAAAAAAAGTTCCTATATTTGTTATATGCTTCATAGAAGTCCAAAACATGCTAAAACTCATTGAAAATTAGATCAAGATAATGACTTTAAATCCGTAGTCCTTTTTTAGTTAGTTACTGCAGCATAATCTGGGGCCTTTGAGGGATTTGATTGAAGGGGGTACACCTGGCAATGCTCTGGGATTGCTCTGGTTCTGTCCTCAGGAATCACTCATGGCAGTTACCAGAGCTCAGATGATTGAACCTGGGTCAGGTGTGTGCAAGGTAAAAGGCACTCTAGCCTTCTCTGAGGGTTCTGTGGCTTACAGTAGAACAAGTATTGTTGGTGGTATCCTTGACTCAAGTCAAAGCTTTTCACTTTTTAGTTTCATGGCCTTAATGTCACCTAGACTTTGAAGCATGTTAATTATCCAATGTAGCTCTGAGCCTTACTGTTTTAGAAGCTAAACAGAGGAGCTGGAGAGATAGTACAGGGATTAAACTGCTCTCCTTGTGCTCGACTAACCTCAGTTTGATCCTCACACTACATATGGTATCCAAAGAATTGCCAGTAGTTATCATTTAATACAGACCCATGATCAAGCCCAGCCCCAGGTGTGACCCCTTCCCCAAGAAGCTAGACAAACAGATGTGATGTCACTCAGCAGGAAGTGGATCATGTTACTATGCAAAGGAAACTCTACTTTTCAAAGTCCATCCCAACAGTTACAAGTGCTCCTGATATGTTGTCTAACTGTTAATATTCTGTAAGTATGGGACCCAGAGAGTCCCTTTTTGAGAGCAGTAAGAGGCAGAAGGTAACTTGCCCAACTGTTACAGAATGCCTGAATCTGATAGAAATAAAGGCAAGCCCTACAACACAGAATCTTTAGTGTTCCCAGCACAGACGAAAATGTATTCAAACCTTTTCCCATCCACATGCAACCCCATGATAAGCTTTAGAGTTGAGCTACCACAGATCTTTCTCTTCTTCATCCTTGAAGAAAATCTTTAATAAACACAAGTCCAAGACCAGGACAGTGCTGCAATTCTCCCTGAGCACAGCTGAATCCACTAGCAGTTTACTTCCTTGGTTAACTTGGCTTTTGACTTCCTGCTTTTTGTTATGAGTTAAACTTAGGGAATTTTTTGAATGTGTAAATCAATAAGAGGAAGTTATATGTATTATTAAATGAGGGGGATGCAAAAATAGTCCATAAGTATCCTTTTAGTTCCGACATATTAGGATTTTAATTTTATTTTTATAACTTTTTAGATATACTTGTGTATATAAGGTAAAATCAGTGTGAGGAAATCTGATTTTTTTCAGAGCAAACTGACATATTCCAGCTGAGAAAGGAATGCTTTTGACCACAAATGGACCTGATAAGGGTCTGGAGGAGCTCAGCAGTTCTTTGGGTTTATTCCTGGAGGGCAATCCCCTGGCCTTTGACCTCTCCCAAATGGCACCCTCCTGGCTAGTGACTGTGCTCAATGCCAGAACTGGAAATAGACAAGGACTTTTGTTGAACTGAGAACCCAATATGTAGCAGAAAAGGGACAGCAGGAGCAGAAGAACAAAAATCATTTCCTGGCAGGAGCAGAAGAACAAAAATCATTTCCTATTTTTGACAGTTTAAGACTCTTAGACTTTGTCAGAAGAGTTCCTTAACTAGAATTAGATAAGATGAGCAAGAACTAGACTTGGAGGGAAAGTTTAAAGGGACGCCCTGAAGCACTATAAGTAAAAAAAATTAGGACACCACTTACAAACCCCCAAGTCCATGAGAAAATAATCAAAATTAGAATATAAAGGATCAGTACTAAATCATAAATGAGGTACAAAGAAAGATGTTAAAGCTGATTTTTATAGGAATCACACTGTAGAAGAATTAATGTAGCAGTATTTAGAGAACATGTTGATTGGCCTGAAAGCCCAGACCAATAAAAAAGAAACAATTATGTCTCCCTAAAGAATTTAAGGAGGAAACAAATTATAAACACATTTAGGGAAGGGGAGAGAAAACTCAGAGCAAAGGGGCTGGAGCGATAGCACAGTGGGCAGGGTGTTTTCCTTGCACGTGGCCAATCCGGGTTCGATTCCCATCATCCCATATGGTCCCCTGAGCACCACCGGGTGTAATTCCTGAGTGCAGAGTAACCCCTGTGCATCACCAGGTGTGATCAAAAAAAAAAAAAAAAGAAAGAAAGGGGGAAAGCAGACAAAGCAAGTTTCTCTTAAACTTTTCAAAATCAGATGAGGATGAATGTAGTGTTTTGTCTTAATATAATACAATTTTCCAAACAAAAGTTTAGATTTAGATAAATTCTTGTTAAAATCAGAAACCACACAAAATTGCTCTTATAAAAGTCCCACATAAAAATAGCTACAATGAGGTCTGGAGAGATAGTACAGTGAATAGGGCACTTGCATCGCATGTAGCCGACCCAGATTCAATCCCTGGCATCCCAAATGGTTCCATGAGCCAGGGGTTGTCCCTGAACACAGAGCCAGTAGTAAACATTGAGCACAGTCAGGTGTGGTCCAAAAACCAAAAAAGAAGTCTAGAAATATAAACAAAAAGAAATATAAAAGAGATAAGGGTGACAAGGCCACTTTATAAAATTATACATTCAAATACCCTTGAAAATCAAATTCTCAAACACCAGAGCTAATAAATGAGCTTTGTAAAGGCTAGAATTTATGTCAACTAACACAATTACAACAACTTTCTACCTGATGACTTAGAAACAAGTTGAAATTCCAGCAATTTCCTTGTACTATGGAAAAAAATATCTAAAACTCAATCAAAAAATCTTTTTATACCCTAGGGCCACCCAACTAGAAATAAAAGAATATAATTACCTACCATAGCAACAAGCTATATTAAACACTAAGGTTTAAGGACGACAAGAAATGATGTTTGCCTAGTTCCACGAACTACTGTTTTTATTCTTTCAAAAACTGTAAGATTATTTTTACTAACAAACACCCGATTCTTACATTGGGTGTTTGTTGGTGTTTTTGCTTTTACAGAGGAGAAATATGAAGATCAGATTTAAAAGCATTTTTTCAAAGTCCAGTGGGAGAGGTAGGAATAAAATCCAGGTTGACATTTTAACAGCATTGTAAATCACAATTCCTCAATAAAGGTTACAAAAAATCTCAGTTGGTGTAGAGTCCATCTCTATTTAAAACTAAACTATAAAACATGAATGAGGAAAATAAGGCAAATTGAAAAATAAGCCAAACTTTAGACTAGTAAAATTTAACAAAACTATTCTGTGGCTCAATGTATAACCTCCTCTAATGTTAATTTAATTCTTCATGGTTTAATCTCAAAGTAACGCCCCAAGATATCAATGGTGAAGGGAAAACAGTGATATTACATTAGAAAAATCTGTCACATTTTAATCAAGTAAACTAAGTGAATACTATAAGTAAAGGCATATTGATATGTACTTCCTGGTGTAAATCATGAGAAGGCATATCACCTCTGTAACATTCTTGCCAAAAACCAATAACTTCAGTCTAATCAAGATAAACTACCAGGTAAATATACATTGGGGAATATTTTACATAATATACAAATGAAATTAACTAAAAAAGAGTCATGAGGGAACATTTGTTAGTATGAAAATGTTAACTCCATACCTTAATATGAGAGGTACTTAACACAGTGCTTAACACAGGTCTATGCCTTTCTCAGGGAGCAACAGACTACCAGTGAAAATCATGTAACATTATTCATTTAAATTGTATTTCAATAAGGTCAATATCAAAGGAGAAAAATCACCCTGCCTTTGTTTAAAAATCTCAGTTCATGTGCCTCTTCCCATAAAGTTTCCAGATAAATTGGCATGCATACACTTATGGAAGAACAAGGGTGATCTCTGATGGTGTCTGATCAGTTCTCCCAATAGCCAGAATATTATGAGTTGGGGAGGGGAAGAACTATGGAATTCTTGCACCAAATGCCTATTAGTCGAAACATATTTCTGT